TGTGGCCAGGTGGCCTCAGACACATAGATACCGTCCTGAATGAGTGTCCCGAGCACTGGGCTCACTGGTATGCACCATCTTAGCCTCCAATCCTGAAAGAGCCTCAGCTTTGATTGGACAAGTCTCACAGCAGCCTAACTTGTGCAAACCGGAGTGAAACTGTAGAGACAGCCGCCCAAAGGACTAGCACCCTGCTTTTTAGAGCTCGGGGCCCTGCTTGACACTCAGTTGGTAGAACCCACAGAGACAGCTGGGCCTGCTTGGTGTTTCAGAAACCAGCTTTACATTGTTTGATTCTCCACCAGTGACTTAGGTAATTATCACTTTGGTGCTTGGGAAATCTATTGCAATGTAAATGTTAAATTGATGACAAGTTGAACCAATTGTGTGTCTGCAGAAGAGACAAAATTTTTCCCTGCAGGTTAAATCTGAACCAGTAAACAGGATAAGGTGCAAACTGGTGCTGATACAGTTCAGATTTATTTATTTATTTGTTTGTTTGTTTATTTATTTATTTATTTATTTTGAGAGGGCGTCTTACAGTGTAGCCCAGGCTAGCCTTGAACTCTCAGCAATCCCTCCTCGGCTCCCAAATACTGGGATTACAAGTGTGTACCACCAAGTCCAGCTCACATGTCTAATTTATTAAACCGAACACTAGGGCCTCCAGATGCATCTGTTTTCCTAACAACAGAGCAGCTTGTGTGCTTTGGGAAGTTGTATCAGGTCTCTGGAAGTTGCAAGGGCTGAGGCAGGAGGATCTCCATGAGGTATGGACAGATAAACAATTGTCAAACAAGGAAATTTTTCAGTCTCTGCTAGCAAGGTCAGTGCAGGGTGGGAGGTGAAAGCACTGCTTGCTCCATTCACCAGGGAGACTGGGGAACAGAGGGATCGAGTGTCCATCTACTGAGAGCTGGAGCTGCAGAGCAGGAATGCGGAGATGGACATGGAAAGCCAGGCCTTGACCTCCTCTGCTCAGCAGCTCAGCCCTGGACAGAGTGAGCGGTCCCGAGGCTGTGCTGCTGGGTTTGCTTCACTACAGAGCAGACAGCATTCACACTAAATTCCGTTTTGTTTTTGTTTTTTGGTACAGGGAATTAAACTCCCCTCCACTTGCCAGGCAGGGCCTTGTACCGTTGAGCCCTATCCCTGGCCCCCACACTGAGTGCTTACTGCTCTGTGCTGTAGAGCTGCAGCCTCACCCTAGGTCCTGTTCACTGTGAGCCTTGGCATTGCCCTGTGCATCACAGAATTAAGTCAGTTCGGCACATGGTGTCCATTCCTGATACTCACGCTGGCCAGACCAGTGGCACACACCTGTAATAGCAACACACTGGGAGGCTGAGGCAGGAGTATCTCAGGTTCAAGTCCAGCCTGGGCAATTCAGTGATGTAGCGAGACCCTGTCTCCAAATAAAAGCATGTGGAAAGGACTGGGATGTAGCTCAGTGCCAAAAATAAAAAATAAATCAGCGCGGCGCAGTCACCTCCTTTGTGTTCTGTTCCCAGTGGCCCTGGGATGCTTAGTAGGGTTACAGTGTTAAGAGCTTTTAGGCAGCACATTAATCAGAGAAGTTATCGTGGGGAAGCAGAAAGTTTTTTCTCTTCTGAAGGAACAGTCGTCACATTTGGGTGTTAATCCCCACTTACACTGGTGTCATTTTTTAAATCTAAAGTTTGATGAGATGCTATAGTAGTAAGACACTCACTGAAAGTTTCAGGAACCATGTGTGATTACTTGTTCAAAAGATTAAATAGCAAAGTATTAGTCAATTAAGCTAACATCATTTTTTCCTTGCTTTTTTATTGTTGGGGGTTTGTTTTGGTTTGGTTTGGTTTTTTGCTTGTTTTTGAGACAGGGTTTCCCTGTGTAGTTCAGGCTGACCTTGAATTCACTTTGTAGCCATTGCTGGCTTTGAACTCGCAGCAGTCTTCCTGCTCAGCCTCAGCCTTCCTGAGGGAGCCTTCCTGCCTCAGCCTCCCCAGTGCTGGGATTACAGGCATGCACCACTTTGCCCAGCTTTTCCCTGAATTTTAATTTATTTTTACTTAATGATTCATTTCTGTTTTGTTTTCTTCTGTGTCTTTTTCTTTCACTTTGTTTTCATTTGGTTGGGACAAGGTCTTGCTATGTAGTTCATGCTGGTCTAGAACTCACTGTGTAGCCCAGGCTGGCCTTCAACTTACACTATCCTCCTGCCAAAGCCTCCTGAGTCCTGGGGTTACAGGTGTGTGCCACCATGCTGACTCTATGTGTATTGTTTGCCCAGATAGCTACGCTTGCTGGCTGCTTCCTTCCCTTGGGCTCTGGCATTTCAAGAATCTTCCCTTCCACACGCAGACTTCCCTCAGTATTTCTCGTGGTGCAGGCTGGGGCAGCTTCCTCAGTTTCAGTTTGTCTAAATAAGACCTTTGGAAAGAAGTTCTTCAGCAGATCTTTGTTGTAGGTTGGCAAGTTTTTCCTTAGCACCATGAAGCTCTTCACATCGTCTTCTGACTTTCTTGTTTCTGTGAAGAGTCGTTCTCTGGAGCTCAGGGGCTTGTTCCTCCCAGCATCCTTTCCTCTGCCCGGGCTTTTAAGCCTCATGTCTATGATGAGTTTAGATGTGATTTTCTTTATATCTGTCTTCTCTGACAAGCACAAGGTCCTGAGTTCGATTCCTGGTAACCCCCTCCCCAAAGTATCACAGTAAATAAATAAAAAGATGCTGAATTATTACTTTTAGTCTGCTTTAGATTTTTTTTTAATATAGTTGATCAGAAGGTCATTTTCTTTTAGTTAAAAAAGTGCCACAACGGGGACTGGGGATTTAGCTCAGCGGCATAAGCGCCTGCCTTGCAAGCAGGCAGTCGTGAGTTCGATCCCCAATACCGATAAAAACGAAAAAGACAAAAAAAAAAAAAAAGTGCCACAACGTACCAGTTTTTAAAAAGACATATGCATCTAATTGCCACAGCTGCTTAAGGTAGCAGTTTAACTATTTGCATGCTTTGATCCTTTCCATTTTATTTTTTATAATTATCATAATATAATTTTACAATCTGTATTTTTTATTGTTCAATAACTTCAGTACAGTCTTCATAATTACACTATTTTAATCACTCTTTGATATATGTTTTTTTCATTGCTATCCTAGTATTTCACAAGTTTTCATGTTTTGGTTGGTATTTTTCCAGTTTTCATTACTAAATATAAGGCCACGTTGAACATCTTTAATTCAGGGATTCTACTCCCCAGAATAATTCAACAGAGAAAAGGCTATGGCACCAACAGTGGGAATATTTTTATAATTCTTAGCACAAGATAAGTGGGGGAAAAAAATCTCTTGGGGCCAGCAGTGGATTTAGAATAGTGTTCGTGTTAGGAGCTGGGACTCTAACACGAAGCTTATTTTAGGAGTTGTGCAAGTCACCTTTTGGTCACATGACAGGTGCTCAAGCGAGGCAGCAGGTAGGGAGGGAGGGCTTGTTGTGGCTCCCGGGTGCAGGGGTTCAGTCCAGGGTCATATGGTCCTGTGGCTTAGGGACTCGGCAGCACCCTGCCTAGGGGCAGGAGCATGTGACAGAGGAGGCCTGTCATCTCCAGATGGCCAGGGAGCAGGGATACAGGATGGGAAGGGACAGGGTCCCAATATCCCCACCCCTGTTGATCTCACTTCTTCCCCCCAGGCCTCAGGTCCTTCCCATAGTGCCATGGCCTGGAGATCAAGCATTCACTATGATGACCTTTTAAATCTGTTGTGATAGGCATTTTTCAGCCCATTACCACATTTTCCTGGAAATAAGCCCCAGCGTGTAAGCTCTCCCCTCAAAGTAAGCCTCAGGTAAGGTCATCAGCCAGATTTAGCATTTAGTATGTCTGTGGCAGCACACCGAGGACATCCTGAGTTACGGCAGTGTTCCAGGAGATGGCACGGCTGCATCTGAGTAACTGCAGGTGTTTGTCTGTGATAATTGAGTATAGATTGTTGTACATGGAAAAATAAAGTATCCCCTGCAAAGATTGTGTCTTTTGAAGCAAATATTAACATAAGACCTGGTCTTATTTGGGGGTATGCAGTAATAGGATTGAACTCTCCCCCGTTCGTCTTTGCCACTTGTGTTTAGACCAAATTTTCAGCCCTGAGCTTTCATCTGCTGCTAAATCACGAAAGCTGATGTTTCGCTGCATCCCAGAGGATGCTTGCTGTGCATGGTGACTAAACTAGGGTGGCGTAAGCAGCCTGCCGAGGCACGCATGCTGTGGGTTCACTGTCTTGTTCTAGACGTCAGCGTCTCCCGCAGCGCGTGGCTGTGATACACATAAAGAGAATGTGTCTCTCAAGGTGTGGAAGTGCGAGTATCTTTATACCTTTGCTTTCTGAGCCTTGAAGCTGAGAAAGTCTGTCTCTCTGTTTTGTCATTGAATATACTAAAAACAAATTTTTCACGCAAGTATTTTGACCTAACTTCAGGGTTTTCAAATGAATTATTGACCACAGGTACTCTTGACGTTAATTTCACGTTGTGCTAATTATACAAGTCTCTATGTCTATACGAGGGTGTTTAGTTACAGTAAGAAAAAAAGAACTGTCTTACATTATTCCTTTTCAAAAAGTAAGCTCTAATGCCTGTGTGCCTTTCAGTGTCACACAAAGGGATTTTTTGCTTATGTTTAGTTATTTTTAGCTTACCAGAGTTACAAAATCTGTCATTGGAAATAACTGAGCCCATTTGGTTGAAATCTTAATTGATGGTATTTTCCTTGCTAATTCTGGACTTTAAAACCCTGCTGTTGGGCCAGGATGCAGCTCAGCGGCACAGTACCTGTCTGGCAAGTGCAGGGTCCTAAGTTCAATCCCCGGTTCAAAAAAATCCCTGTTGCCACTGACACGGTGACATGTGCCAGCTCAAGAGGCTGAGGCAGGGGAGTCCTCAGTGAGACTTCACTTTGGACAAATGAACAAAAGAACCAAAAACACAATAAAGGTTTGTTTTGTTCTCCCTGATTTTCTGCAGGTGAAAAAAGCCTTTTTTGCTTTGGTAGCCAACGGTGTTCGAGCAGCGCCGCTGTGGGAGAGTAAAAAGCAGAGTTTTGTAGGTGAGCATTGTGAGCTTGGGGGTGTTGGAACCGGGAGGGGGACTTTGGGGTGCTGCATCCCAGGTTTCCGAGGGGCAGGTTTGGTTTCAGCCAGGTAAACAACCTATTACCAAGTGAAAGAGGTCATTGCTTTTATTTGTTTGGGGTGCTGGTTGTTGGTTTGTTTTTTGTTTTTAGTACCAGGGTTTGAACTCATTACTTTGTGCTCGCAAGAAAGTTGAGGTGTATCCCCAGCCCATGGATGGTTTTTTTGAGACAGGGTTTTGCTATGTAGCCCCAGCTGGCCTGGAACTCATGATGATCCTCCTGCCTTAGCCTCCTAAGTGCTGGAATTACAGGCCTGCATGACCATGCCTGGCTGCTCCTCCTTTTGCATTCTGGGTAAATTCTGAACACTGTTGCACTTCAACTGAAACCCTTTTTGGGAAGCTGAATTTGTTTTAATTTAGCAACTTTTTGGCTTATGTGCCTTTATCAGCCACAGGAACAGAATGTGTAGATGCAGAGAACATACCTGGGTTAGTGCCCCCACCCTGGACCAGTCCAGCGAATCGTGTGACAGCCAAGCTCTGTCACCACCTGTCATCTTTAGACAGGGTAGATGAAAGGATGAGCTCGCTGGGGATCCTTGCTGTTAAAGATACTGTATAATTTACAGCTACTTAAACACTGTCATCGTCACATGATAAATCACAGGAGACAAATGATGACACTGTACTGTCTCTGAAGATTCAACACAATGTGCTGTAATTGCCACTGAGTGTGGTGGTGCACTTGGGAGGCTGAGGCAGGAGGATCCCTGTGAGTTTGAGGCCAGCCTGGGCTACAAAGTGAGCTCAAAGCCAGCCTGAACTGCAGACCTTGTCTCCAAAAAAATAAATAAATAAATAAAATTTTAAAATAGAGTGCTTCTCCAGCATCTCTGTGCCAGGTCTTGCAGAATATTTCCTTACTTTATCATACTGTATCTTATTTTTAAGTATTTTATATTGTTTACGTATAGCTACAATTCCTTTTTGATATTTCATAACAGTTTTCTCATGTTGATTTGCCACATACATCGATGAATTGCAAACTTTTAATCAAGTTTAATTTCAGCTAGATTTCAGTACTAGTTTGGAATAAGCAATAAATTAACAGCTTTAAACAATAAATTGTTTTTGAGATTGTTAAAGTATATCGTGTAAGCTTTTCTTGTAAACATTGTATGTTTAATGTCGTGTAAATTTTTCTGTGATATATCTATAGTGTTATTTTTAACATCTAATTCTTTTGTTCCAGGAATGCTCACAATCACAGATTTCATAAATATACTACATAGATACTATAAATCCCCTATGGTAAGTGACAGCCGTCTCCCCATCTTCCGCTCATTAAGGCTGTGTGTCTGCCGGCTGTGTAGAAGCTGTATCTGTGTATTTTGCAATATTTTTGGTAGAGGTAATGGTTTTTTGAGGCAGGTAGTAGTTGATTTTCCAACTAAATATAGTATAAAGAAGTTCAGTATAAGACTGCTAACCCAAAGCTAGGCATAGTGGGAGTCTTGGTTAATTTTCTCATTGCTGAGACAAAATGCCCCACATCCAAAGTTGAAGGAGAAGAGCTTTGTTTTGGCTCACAGTTTGTGGAGGTTTCAGTCATAGTCGGCTAGCCCAAGGCAGGTGACATGGCAGAGGAGATGGTCCATAGTGGGCAGAGAGCAGCAGAATAGCGAAGCAGCAAGAGCTGGCTGCTCTGTGTCCCTTTCTGTCCCTCCAGGCTGCCCACCCTTTGTGTGGCACCACTCACACCCAGGTTGGGCCTTCCTGGTGTCCTTACTCAGAACCATGGCAAACCAATCAGTGGACTGATTTAGTAACCACACACTCTTGATTCCAGCACCACACACTCTATATCCAGCCACCTCTGAAAAGCCCCACCTGTGACCATGTGAGGTTTTGAGTGGACAGCTAGACACATGCCAGTGATACACGCCTATAACTTGCACGTAGGAGGCTCAGGTGCCACAATGGGCTGTATCATCAGTTCAAGCCGTGCCTGAGCTATATAGTGAGATCTTGTCTCAAAAACCCAAAAATGCCCCAAAAAACTACCAACCCTAGTAAATAACCAGCTTTGCCGTAAGGTGTATATTTGCAGCTCCTAAGAGGTATTCTCAGGAAAAATCAAAGTGTAGCTGCTTTACTCAGTTATCACAGGTCTTCCACCCAGGAGGATCCCACACACTTGCTTATTCCCAGGGTACCTCTGTGTCACCTGGGTTTGTGTCACCCAGCCTCTGGAAACACCTAGGATGGGGCCTGCCCGCAACTCCTGGCCAGGTGGCTGGCCTAGCAGGGACCTCAGTCCTGACTGCAGAAGACAGAGCATGGTGCTGTCCCCAGCGATTTTATAACAAGGACTGTATGGGCTGTGCAGATTAAAAATAAGTGAAAATTAAAATTGAAGAAACACAGTTTGGACTTCGTTATGCCAATGAGGAAAAGACGCCATGGCTGATGCCAGTGCAGATCCCTGGCGCCCAGCCCACCCTGCAAGAAGAGCAGATGAGAGGCACTGCTGTCTCTTTTCACACTGAGACGTGTGACCCTGCCAGCTTGCACTTGGCTGTCATTTGCATTTGAGTGTTGGGAAGGACAGAGCTGCATGCTTTAATCAGCTAGTAATATAGGGATGTTTAAAAGGTCCACTAAACAGTTTGGTTTGCTTTGGTTTTGATTTTGGTTTCAGATGGGGTCTCACTGTGTAGCTCATTGTGGCCCTGAACTCCAGGCCATCCTTCTGCCTCAGCTCCCAAGTCCTCAATTCACGTGCAGTGCCCAGTTTAAATACAGTTCTAAGGTGTGATGTCATCCAGCATGGTGACAAAGAGATGCAGCTTCGGAAATGTCATCGGTTTATACCATCATTGTGGGAACATGATAGGTATTCTTATGCAAGCTAAGACAGCCACAGAATTGCCGGGTGCTAATAATGTTAGGACCACAGTTATACCTGTGGCCCATTATTGACCAGAGTGTTGTTAAGTGATGCACTATAACTAAATTCCTCCATAAAATGCAGAATGAATTTCTTCATAAAACATATGCTTAGAATGAAATTTTAGGCTGGGTGTGATGGCGCACTCCTGTAATCCCAGCATTCAGGAGACTGAGGCAGGAGGATCAAATTCAAGACCAGCCTGGGCTACAAAGTGAGCCCAAGGCCAGCCTGAACTGCAGAGCAAGACCTTGTCTAAAAAAAAAAGAAAAAAAGAATGAAGTTTCACCAGAGACTATAATTTTGTTACTCCATGCAACAGACATATGATTTCTTAAATCCTCCCAATTCACATGAATACTGACTGGCTGTCTTCATGTTGTTCACATGTCTTCTGCTCCAGGACTATCAAAATCAGCACAAATAGCATTTCTTAAATGGAGAGATCTCACCAATGTGGTGGTACACACCTGTAATCCCAGTCCTTAGGAGGCTGAGGCAGGAGGATCACTGAGTTCAAGGCCAGCCTGACATGCCTGGCAAGAATGTCTCAAAAAAACCATAAATAAATAAATTTTCCCCCAAATCCCGCATAACAAACCTCAACATTAGTAGCTTATTAAACCAAAATTTCCCAAAAAAAGTTATATCTAAATTTATAATCTACATATAATTTTTCTTAATAGTTGAAGTTACCTTTTTCTCTATGTCTCATCTTCATAAATCAAGTAAAATTATTGTGAAAGCTATTTCATTACATTTTCTATGTAATTTGTTCCCATGTTGTTGTGTTAACATTCATTAATTAGAATTTCTCTTATTTACAGGTACAGATTTATGAATTAGAAGAACATAAGATTGAAACATGGAGGGGTAAGCACCACTGAGGTTAAAAATCTCTCATATCCAGGAGAGAATGTTAGATGTGGAATGTGTGTTTGAACATCACAGATTCTTCTCATGCTGCTTAACAGTAGTGTGTTGATGAAAACATGTTTCTGTCTCCACATGGGAAGCCCGCTGTGCCAACTCTGAGGCTGGGGATGTCAGGGTGTGTGATCTGACCCCAAGGTTGTATCCCTAGAAACCTGCTTTTGAGCCAGGCATCATGGTGCACACCTGTAATCCCAGCACTCAGGAGGCTGAGGCAAGAGGATCATTACAAGTTGGAAACCAGCTTGTGTTACAAAATGAGTTCAAGGCCAGCTTGAACTGCATAGTGAGACCTTGTCTCAAAAAGACCCCAAGATAAAAAAATTTTACAGAAGAGCCAACTGAAGGAAAATGTCAGATTTCAAACTGGAACCTGGCTTTGCACTTATTTAGTGCACCTGGGAGGTTAGGCAGCCCTGTAACCGCTGAGACACCTGCAGATCCACTGGAGTTCCCAGAAGCTCCACAGCCCTTAGTCCTATGGGAGTCAGAAGCTCATTGGGTGAGGTATTTATTGGGGCTTTACAAGGTCACCATGAGACCATATGATCTGCAACGAAAGGCTTCTGTGACCTGACACCTGGCACCGGCTTCTCATTGAAGCCTGATGTCCGTGCTGTGGGCCAAGCCCTCAGCCTGTTTACATTTACATTTGCCACATGTGATCGAGATCCTTGGTGTGGTGATGATACAACCCGGATATTCTCAGGCGCCTTTTCTGTGTAAACCTCACTGAAGCAAACTAGTTACAGTTCATAGCTCTCCAAAGAAAATTTCTGTTTGCTGGGAGGATGCTCAGATCCAGTGAGATTTGAATACTCATGAAGTGGCCAGGGGTTTAGCTCAGTGGCACAAGTGCCTGCTTGGCAAGGGCAAGGTCATAAGTTCGATCCCCAGTACCTGAATACTCATAAAGTAAAACAAAACATTTGAGGAACAGTTTGTTACTGCTGATTTTATCTTACAACTGATAAAAATTGGCTTTAAATGGTTTGTAAATGCTTCATTTCTTGAGGATAATTTTATTTCGGAGCATCCAAGTGACCTCTGCTGGTTTTGCACATTCATTTTCTTGATTTTTTTTCCTAATGTTACAAACATTTATCAAAATACTGTTCTTTAAGTATTTAAATTTTCTTCAAAGGCAACAACCCCCAAAACTGTTGAAGTTAGTTAAAGTGGTTGTGACTATAATTAACACCATAGTTCTGGAGGAGTTGAATTCCTATTGATTTAGAGTCACAGTTCTTCTGATTATCTGTAAACTGAAGGGTATTTGAATTATAGCATAACGGCAAATAGTGAACATATTACTAACTACATATTTTCTTTTTATAAATACAGAGCTTTATTTACAAGAAACATTTAAGCCTTTAGTGAATATATCTCCAGATGCAAGGTAAACTTATAAGGTTTTTTTTTCTATTGAAAACATTCATTCTGATGTCTGTTTTATCCATGACAGCTAAATAGAGACAAATAACCAACACACACGGCCTCCAGGCCAGGCAGAGCCAACCTTCTTAACACCAAACCCTAAATTCTACAACCATAGGGACATTTGTAGTTACAGCCGTCCTTGGTCCCAGGGATTGAAAGTGGCACGGGAAATTGGTCACCCTAAGCATTCTGAAAATCCAGACCTGGAGCAGGAGCAGTAGGGAGCGTGTTAAAGTTACCCAGTCCCTAGCCACGTGTGTGGTGGCTCAGGCCTATAATCCCAGCACTGGAAAGGCTGAGGCAGGAATACTGACATTAATTTGCGGGCCAGCCTGAACTGTGTAGTAAGACTCTGTCTCAAAAAAAGAAAAAGTTACCCAGTCCTGGGTACCCCCAACCCACCAGTGCAGAGGGCAGAGCCATGAACAGCAGGCTTTGAAACAGCCACCCCAGACTCTGACCAAAGTCAGAGCCATCCTAGGTTTGGATCAACAGCATTTTAAAAGCTCAAAGCCACTAGAAAGAAAAGAAGAAACATTCATTTTTATTCTCTTACTTCCAAATTCTAACAGGAAGCCACAGCTCCTCTTGGTACCAGCCATAGGGAAATCAGAAAGGAGCTCTACAGACACCCTGGCAGGACTAGCATGGAGGTCTCTGTCATCTTTCAGTCAAAACCGCCATTAAAATGCACTCTGCATGGGGCTGGGGATTTAGCTCAGCGGCATAAGCACCTGCCTTGCAAGCAGGCGGTCGTGAGTTCGATCCCCGATACCGATAAAAATGAAAAAAACAACAACAACAAAAAAATGCACTCTGCAGGCCAGGTGCAGGAGTGCACAGCTGTAATCTCAGCACTGCAGGAGGCTGAGGCAAGAAGATCACAAATTGAAACCCACCCTGAGCAATCAGAGACTTACAGAGACCCTGCCTCAAAATAAAAAACAGAAATGGCTAGGTTGCAGCTCAGTGCATCCAGTCCCCACACTGAAAAAGAAAAAATGTTACTGTCTTGCCAGGCACAATGGGTCACATCCGTAATCCCATCCTAATCCCAGGAGGCTGAATCATGAAGATCATGAGTCAGAGGCCAGCCTGGGCAATTTAGCAAGACCCTGTCTCAAAGAAAAACAAATACACAAACAACAACAAGAAAGGTTCTAGGAATTCACAGCTCATCTTTAGATTTGAGATATGGTAAGAGATTGTGGAAAACCAAAAGTTAGCAGAGGTCTCTGATTTTAAACTCACCCATGCTGTGATCAGCCTTTTATTACAGTGACAAAGAATCGCTTTAAAGCAGGGGTGGTCCAGAGCTTTCTTATTTCTCTTCCAAGCCTCCTAACAACTTTTAATGGCTTTTCCTGCAGCCTCTTCGACGCTGTATACTCGTTGATCAAAAATAAAATCCACAGATTGCCCGTCATTGACCCCACCAGTGGGAATGCACTTTATATCCTAACCCACAAAAGAATCCTCAAGTTCCTCCAGCTCTTTGTAAGTAGTTTTGAGTGTTTATGAAGACATAGTTGCCTTTACTTCCATTTAACTCAAATCTGTTGGCTCCTGTTCCTCTCAGTAGCAAAAATCTTCAGTTTTGAAGTCTGCCATCCTAAACCTTAATTCCTTAGCTTCCTGCTGTGTTAATGACACATTCTTCAAGTTGATTCCAGCCAGGCACAGCGGTGCTAGAGAATCCCTGGGAGTCTGAGGCCAGCGTGGACTACACAGTGAGCTCAAAGCTAGCCTGAACTCCCACAAGACCCGTCCTCAATTAATCAAGAAGGTGATTCCAATTAAAGTACATCTTCACCTTTCCATACAAGAATAAAAATAAATTCTCCATTTGGAATTCTTCATCTAAGTGAGAAGGTTGTATTGCCCAGCATGCAAGGGGCACCAAAGCAGGTCTGTCTAATGAAAGACCACCGCCCCAGAGTAAACTGAGCTGATACTTAGGGCACAAATCACTGCATTGTTTCATGATGTGTTTGTGTCATGACTCTTAGAAACCTGGTCAAAAATACTGTCCCTGATAATGAAATTGTTATAAGTGATAGCAGTACCAGAAAATCTTAAAGCAGATAGAATTGTGGCATGTTGGCAGGACAGAAATACCGTGTTGGTCCAAATAAGGTCTGAATTACCTGCAGGTTTTCTCAGCTCCCTTGGATTCGGGCTGGCTTTGTAATCTTCCAGCACCTGCAAGCTCTTCGCTGGGTGGTTTCAAAAGAGGCAGGGACTATGCGGCCATCCAGGCTTTTCCTTTAATTCGAGGTTAAAGTACTCGGTCAGATAGAAGCAGTAGGAGACATAGGATTCAAAAGAGGCCATTTGCAAAGTCACTTTTTCTAAGGGTGGCAAAGCGCTGCTTCCCAGCAGCGGGGCTCCTGCCCTGGAAGGAGCCACGTGAGGGTGGCTGAGCACAGAGAGCAGAGATTGGGAAGAAGACCTGCTCCATCAGACCGGTTCCCATAAAAAAGCAACACCTATGGTGAACTAAAAGCTATAAAGGAAGCTAGGATGCAGAAGAGCAACCTACCAAAAACAAAAGAAATTTAATAAAATCTAGGAAAAAAGAATGAGGGACAGATCAGCATAGCTTCTCACCACAGTCAGGGAAGGAGGCTGCTGAGTTGCTGAGACCTCACGGAACAGAGGGTGCATTTCAGGGCCACGTGTGCCAGACCTGAGGCTCCTTGGCCTTGAGAGTCATGATTACAACGTAACAGGAACCCTGAGCCTTGGTTACTAAGAGTCCAGTTCAGGCCTTAGCCCCCGATATGCTAAATGTCACCCTTAGGACAGCCCTATGTGACAGGGAAGGCAGCTACCTTGTGGATTCAGCAGCGTAGTCCAGGGGACATGGCTGTGCGTGTGGAGCCAACCTCCACACTGAGCATCTGATTCTGCAGCCACCTCGCAAATCTCCAATGCGCTGTCTGCTAGCACTGGGGTCACATAGGAAGTAGGTCCAGTCTCCACCCAGGATTGCCTTATCTTTGGGCCATTATGGTAATGAGGATCATGCTACTGGAATATTCAGAAAAAATACAGAATTTCAATAATAAAGAGCCTTCAGGGCCTGAGGTTGACTGTATTAGCGAATCACTTTCCGAGACAAGTTGCATGAACCGTCAAGATGTCTGCACCTCAGCTAAGCGTGGCACGTGGGACAGGGAGTCTCCAATTGTGAGGCCAACTGGACAGCCTAATAGGTCTTTCTTTTTCTCTCTCTAAATTTCTAGGATTCTCATGATTTGAATATTGATGAACTCTTTGACTTGACATTTTATTTCTCCTAATTGTTCATCTTTTCCTGATAAGGTACATAGGAGGATGGAATCAGCTGTACCCTTTATTAAAGGGTCCTCAGAACCATAGACCTTATTTTGTTAGAGCCTAACACAGTCCTCAACTTTTCTCTCTTGTCATATCCCTGGCCTATCCTCTAACATAGTCCCAACAGAGGGAGCCTGAAGCTTCTCTCCACTCTGTTCAGCTGCTTGCTCTTTGATCTTAATAGACAAAAACCGGCACCCTCCAGAGAGATGGAGGTGGAACATAGCCCCAGACACTGTCAGTGTCTCGTGCTTGGAGCCGTCTTGCTTCTTAACTGTGACTTCACGCTGGCAGCCAGGCCTAGAGATTGACACAAATAATTAAAGAGTCAGGTCTACTCTTGGGGGTCCATGGGTCTTAATTTTCCAAACAGGCCTGATGTCCCTTCTAGCCAGCAGGAGAAAGGTTACAGTGCATAGAGTACAGCCAGACAGAGTGGTCTGAAGGAAAGGGTCAGTCCTGACCGAGGCAACCATGCCTTCTCAGTGTAGCTTTTCATGCAAACCCAGACGTGTGAGCCTTGTAAGGGGGCTGTTAGGATCGTGGAACCTTTGATTTCTCTTTTTCGGCCGCAGATGTCCGACATGCCAAAGCCCGCCTTCATGAAGCAAAACCTGCAGGAACTAGGGATCGGCACCTACCAGGACATCGCCTTCATCTACCCCGACACGCCCATCATCAAAGCCCTGAACATCTTCGTGGAGCGGCGGATATCGGCCCTGCCCGTGGTGGATGAGTCAGGTCTGCCACCCTTAGCTGCAGTAGTTAACTGGTTTGTTTTCATACTTCCATCAAGACACATGTCACTCCCAGGTGTGGGCACATCTGACCTCCCAGCCCTCGGGAGGCCAAGGCAGGATTTCCACGAGTTCAAGGCCAGGCCGGACTACACAGTGAGTTCAGGGTGAGCCTGAACTGCTGAGTGATGTCCTGTCTCAAAAAACAAACAGGAAGATACCATTTCATAGCCACATTAAAATAGACAAGTTTATCAGCATTCAGTCCTGAATCCTAAAATAGACGAGTTTTTCAGACTTAGTCCTTAGAAACGATCTATGTCAGACTGACTTTAAAATGAATGATTTTGTTGTTCTTAAAATACTTTGCTAACATGTGTTTTCATTTTTAGGAAAAGTTGTAGATATTTATTCCAAATTTGATGTAATTGTAAGTATGTTTTCATTTTCTTTAAATCTGTCGTTTTGAATGCATTTTAAAACCTACTCAATGTTTTTTTATGTTTTCCTCTGGTTCCCTGACTTCATAATTCTTAATTTTTTTTGAATCTGGGAATTAGAGAATGCCATAGTAGTCTCCGTAGTAATCATAATTCTAACATTTGTTGGCATGGCAGTGCGTCGTGCTTTAGTATATATTAGTGTTTTGTAATTTTTGTCTTCTCAGTATCTGTATTTTACACACCCCTGCAGCACATATGTGTCTTGTAAATGCTTGTGTTTGGATGTGGGGTCATTAGCCTGCCACAGACGTGTGCTTGTGCTTGTGTGAATTTGTGTGAGTCCCTGGACATGTGAACTTGTTAGGTGCAATCCATTGCTGGTTCACTTGGAATGCTGTTCTAAAGAAGACAGCGAATGGATTCAAGAGTTCTGTGTTTAGCAAAGTTGCAATAAGTTCTGCATTCACATCCCTAATTTCAGTCTGCTGGGTTTGTTGTTGACATTGCATCTTTCTGTCTGATTCTCTTTTCTCCCCATGCATCCATGAATATACTTAGGCCTTTATAGTATCAAAAAAGGGAACCCATATTTCGATCGCCCCAATATACACATGATATTTTTGTGGCTATGATATTGACCCTGGCACTGAATATTCTTTTGCAGCTTCTTAATGGGTCTGTCTTATGATTACCATAATAAATACCAAAATATATGTTCATTAGAATGTGGCTGCAGTAGCCCTGAGATGCCATTTGGGCCCATGGGACTTCTTGGGCCTGCTTTTCCTCTAGTCCTTGACCTTAATAGGCCCCTAAAGCCCTGTTCTCCAGGAAGCTCCTTGGGAAAGTCTTGATGTTGGGTCCCATCCTCTGAGGCACTGTGACACTCAGAAATGTCAGGTCACCAACCCAAGAATGTTACACAGGGAAGTTTTGGTAGGATATGCTATCAAAATTGTACATAGGGCTGGGGATTTAGTTCAAAGGCATAAGCACTTGCCTGGCAGGTGTGAGGTCATGAGTTTGATCCCTGGTACAAAAAAAAAATTTTTACATACTATAGGGGAAATTTTTAATATAATGTGAATACTTTTAATTGTAATTTAAAGGCTTTAATTTGGTAAGGTGATTAATGACACTGATGGTATGATACAAGTTTAAAAGAGAACTTCCGCTACCAAGTCTAAATAAACATTAATATTTTTAGAAATCAGGTTGCCTTAAGCTTACTAATTTTGGCTATTATGCAAATTGAAATGAAGGCTGTAATTTTGCTCTGTGACTCTGTTCCAGAATCTTGCTGCTGAGAAAACGTACAATAACCTGGACATCACGGTGACACAGGCTCTGCAGCACAGGTCGCAGTATTTCGAAGGCGTCGTGAAGTGCAGTAAGCTAGAAACACTGGAGACCATTGTGGACAGGATCGTCCGGGCTGAGGTGAGTCCCCAAACCCCTGCCTGCCCCCTCCTTTCCCCAAATTTACTGTAACAAACACCCCACAGCAATTGGCACCTAAGAAGTTTGAGTCTCAGAAAGGTGCAGCAAAGCAGCCTTCACGTTCTGTGAGAGGAAATCTTTTACAGAATGTTCTGTGGCACAGGACAGCTGTGCTGGAGAGGGCTGTTGAATGGAGTTGGGCTGGATTGAGTTTCAAGTTCAGATATCACAGTTGGCTCAAAAGGACTGGTAAGATACTCCTGTGCATTAAAAAATATATACGAGGGGCTGGGGATTTAGCTCAGCGGCATAAGCACCTGCCTTGCAAGCAGGCGGTCATGAGTTCGATCCCCGGTACTGACAAAAAGAGGAAAAAAAAAGTGTGTGTGTGTGTGTGTGTGTGTGTGTGTGTGTGTGTGTGTGATACGAGTTGCCCCTCAGGACCTTCACTTTCTGTTAAGGTGCCTGTGAATTTGGACTTCTAAAAGAAGCCAGGCACGGGGACACCTGCCCATAATCCCAGCATTTGGGAGACTGAGGTAGGATGAGTGTCCTGAATTCAAGCCTGACTTGGCTACAAGGCAAGACCCTTGTTTTTGTGACTTTCCTCTCATTGCTGAGACAAAATACTTGATGCCCAAAATTAAGGAAGAAAATATTTATTTAGCTCACCGTGTATAGAGGTTTCAGTCTATAATCAGCTGGCTCCAGGGTGGCATGGCACAGGGGCAACATTTTATGGCAGTGAAAGACAGAAGAAGCAACAAGGGAGGAGAGAGAGAGAGCAAGCCTCTTCCTCTCCCTTGTATTGTATGCAGGCTACCTGCCCCGCGGTGTGCAGAGCATTCACACCCATAATCCCAGGTTTGGACCTTCTGTCAGTCACAGGCTCTAGAAGCCACCCCCATGACTGCATGAGGCTTTGAGGGGACATTCAGGCACAAACCATAACAACCCTATCTCAAAAAAAAACAAAAAAGATGTAAAGCGACTGTCATATCATGCCTGCTTCCCACCTGTCTCTCTTCCCTCAGTTTAACCAAATAGTAACTGCTGTGGTACTGCAGTCTCCTGAGCCTCCACACTCACAACCCTGTGTGAGAGTTTTCAGGGCCACTCTGTACAGCACCCAGTAGGGAGCACAGTACAGAGGCCTTCCCACACTCCTCCCCGCAGTTGCTCTTGCTGCTTAGATAGACAGGGTGGGGAATGCTGCCATTCTCGAGGGCCAGAGGACAGCTCTGTTCCCTCTAGAACAACCCCTAAGTAAGCGGGGCATTCATCACAACCCTCCCTGTTCATGATACTGAAAATACAAGAGAACAACCCAGCAGCAAGGGCCCTACTTCCAGCCAGTGCTAGGCAGCATCGTTCCCAGAAACCCTCAAATCCTCCTTTAGTTGTGTGTGTTCAGGATACAAGGAGCCCTACCTGTTAGTAAAAAGTAAAACAAAGAGGAGATGGTTGGAAATAATGAGGCAACTTTGTGGAGATGGGAAAGGGAGAAGTGGAGGAGAGAAAAGGAATGGAAAATGATCAAAACACAGGATGTGTATATCCCAGTTCCACAAAACAAATACAAATATTATATATCACAGGCATTGGGCAAGTACTAAATCAGTCCACTGATTGGCCCTGATCCCAGGAGCCTACACAGAGGATAAAAGGGCAGAAAGACACCATTAAGGTCCCTCGCTTGCTTTGCTGCTCTCTACCTGCCATGAACTGTTTCTCCTCTGCAATGCTGCTTTTCCCTGCCACCTTCCCTTGGAGCTGGTCCTCTGTGGACTGAAATCCCTACAAACTGTGAGCCAAATAGACCTTTCCTCCTTTAACTTAATTTTGTCTCAGCCATGAGAAAGTAACTATGACATATACTAATTTAACAAAAAAAAGAGGGTGGGAGGGATGCATAGTGCTGCATATTTGTAATCCCAGCACTCAGGAGGCTGAGGCAGAATGATTACTTGAAAGTTCGAGGCCAGTCTGTGGCATACAACGACATAGTAAGTTCAAGGCTGGCTTGAACTCCACAGTGAGACCATCTCTAAGACATTAAATAAATAAATGAATGAGTAAATAAGAATTTCACCCATCTAAGTTAATTCCCCCAGCTTCCCTTTTATGACTTTTAACACATTTCACTGGCATCTCCTGGGAAGTCTTCTCTTTTCCAATCAAATTTACTACATTCATGGATAGGCATGTTGGCACACACCTATAAATCCCAGCACTTGGGAGGCTGAGGCAGGAGGATCTCCATGAAGTTGAGGCCAGCCTGGGCTTCATAGAAAGTTAAAGACCAGCCTGAACTGTACAGCAAGACCCTGTCTCAAAATACAACCAAAACAAAAGAAGAATTCATCACCCCTCATTTCCCAGAAGTTTCAGTTGCTAGGGATGCACCCTGCCTGGTCAGCGTCTATAGTACCAGCCACCTCTGGGAAATCACAGCTGAAGGAGGTGAGACCTCCCTCTATTTATAAGGCTGCAGACATGGCTGTGTAGGCCTCTTCCTGACAGCTGACACCGTGTCACAGAAAAGTAATCACAAGCACAATGTCCGAAATCACTGCATTGTATTCTCAGGAAGAGGCCAGCTGCTGCGGCCTGGACGAGTCCATGTCACACAGCGAAGAACGAAGAGCGTGCACCAGTGAGGCCTGACTGGTGGCAGCTCCTGAAGGCCGCGTCCTTCCCCGCCGTGCTAGGAGACGCAGGCAGTGCACTGCTGAGCTCCTCTTGAGGTGCAGATGGCGGTGGGAAAGCGGATGTCAAGGAAAACAAAGATTGCTGAAGCCCTTTTCTCCAATTATACAACTTGGCTTTTTTCCTCAATAAAATTCTGCCACCAGATGCCTCCGCCCTGGGACACAAAGCTTTGATGCACTTTGTCAGGGGAAGGACAAATGAGATCATTGAAGACTCAGTTCATCTACACGACAAAGGAGGCACCTCAGACGGGGAACACTTGTGAGTTCAGACTTGGCGACTGATGACAAAACGCTCTGATGCTTGTTTCTGTCTGGAGAATTAGGGCAGCCTCTGGGTGACACCACTGACCCTCAGCAGATCAGAAGATACTTAATTACCGCTGTTGAATACAAATCATAAAATATGTCCAGCATAGAATATAAAGCATCCTCTGACCCCAAGACATGAACCATTGCTTTAATTTATAGTTAGAGCGAATAATTGTGCCTCATTACAAGATTACTGAAGGGCCTAAAGTTTTTAAAGAAATTTTTGTTGACTTATATGAGAAAGATGATTCAATGACTCATTTTTCTAACCTAAAGCAAGCTGCACTCTCAAGAGCATCACCAAAATAGACGATTGGAGACCAAATAATAAAACACGGTGGGCATGGCGATGTGTGCCTGTGAGCTAAGCACTGCTCAGGAGGCTGAGGCAGGACGATCATTGTGAGTTCAAGACCAGCCTAAACAATAACCAAAAAAAGCCTATAGTTCATGTTCCTCTTCAATATTACCCTTAATATATGAACTTTGTAGAGAAAAGATACTAATAAAAAAATACTAGGCACACACCCCTGACTGATGTCAACACTGGGAGGCTGAGGCAGGAGAAGCCCAAGTTGGAGCCCAGCCTGGGTAACTTAGTGAGATTTTTGCCTCAAAATAAAAACTGAAGGGGCTGGAGGTGGAACTTTGTATGAAAGTCTTGGGTTCAATCCCCAGTAGCACATACAATAATAATATAATAATCTTGGGTTGGGGATTTAGCTCAGCAGCATAAGCGCCTGCCTGGCAAGCGCGAAGTTGTGAGTTTGATCCCTGGTACCAATAATAATAATCTTAAAACAGAGCCAGGTGTTTGCCTGTAATTCTAGCACTTAGGAGACTGAGTCAGGGGAATCATGAGAATTTGAGGCCAGCCTAGGCTATGTAATAAGTTCTAGGCCAAGCAGAACTACAACATAGTGACACCTTGTCTCTAAAAAATAAAACGGAATTAAAGTCTTAAGAGCAGGGGCTCTGTGTTCTGGTTCCATGATTACCTGACTTCTTTCCCCTGCAGAGCAGGCTAGAAGCCGAGATACAATGTCACAGAATTAACGTGCTTTGGTGAGGTTTTATGGCTGTTTTGAACCATAGTTTTCATGTACTGCTCTGAAACCTCAGCGGGACCTGGCTGGCTCTTTTCTCCTAGGAGCAATCAAGCACATCTAAGTGTCATCCTAACTTTAGAGACCCAGCTACTTCCTGTCGTCTGCAGTGTGGGGCTCAAAGCTGGGACACCCCCCGCACAGCACAGCCTGTTTTCTTTCGCAGGTCCATCGGCTGGTGGTGGTAAATGAGGCCGACAGTATCGTGGGCATCATTTCTCTGTCTGACATCCTGCAAGCCCTGATCCTCACGCCAGCAGGTAACAGTTCCCGTGTGCAGTGCCAGCCAGCGGGACTAAACATTTAGAACCACGGTACCCACCTGCAGATGGGGGCTTCACTCTGTGTTTTGTGTCCCATTTGCATTTTCTTTTCAGTTTTAAAAAAATTTTAAGACAGGATTTCACTATATAATACGGGATGCCTTTGAACTTACCGTGGAGCCCAAGCTGGCCTCAAACTCTTAGTGATCCTGCTGCCTCAGCTTCCCAAGTGCTGGGATGGCGGGTGCCTGTCCCCACACCCAGCTTCATTTTTGAAATTCTGATGTTCCACTTGATTGAGAAAAACTATAGGAAATACAGGGGCAGAGATGGAAAAGGGGCTTTAGATCCGAGTTAGGATTTCTCATTGTCTCATTTTTCATGATAAGACGTGGCCCCATGAGGTCTTAAAACCCCCAGTATGGCCTGTACTTTCTTCTCTTTCCTCTGCCTCCCTGTGCCCCATCACCTCTGGACCAGCAGCCATTGGGGGGCCTCAGGCCGCAGACCCCAGACCCAGATGAGAGACCACAGATGTGCATTTTTAAAGCACGGGAGCTCAGCATTAGCCACCCTACCCTGTGTGTGCCACAGTGTAGATTTGTCTT